CCGCTAGCCGCAGCAGCCGCCGCCTCCTGCCGCCGCCCCGCCACCCCGCGAAGTCCCGTCGCCCCGCCGGAGCCGCCGGAGCCCCGCTGGAGCCGAGCCGGAGGTATAGCCGCTGTCGCCGTCGTGGTCCGTTAAAAAAAACGATCCGATTTTTCTTTAGAAACCCTAGATTCATTTTTTAATAGATCGTTTTTTCGGTTTATTTATTTAGCGAGCGTTCGCCCGTTCGTTCGTTTTAACGAACGAATGCGCCGTTTAGTTTCAGTTAACGAGTTCGTTCGTTAATCCGTTCGTCATTTTTTATTTTTCTCGGATTTTCCGCGGTTATTTCTGATCGTGATTTCTGATCCTATTTTCGTTCTAGTATAACTTTTCGCTCGTTTATCGGAATCAGGCGATTCAAGCGCCTAGAGTTTCGTCTCGAAACCCTCTTTCCGTTTAACCAACTCAAACAAGTTTTTGCTTATGTAAAATTTGACTTAGATCCAGATTAGTAAATGAAGCTTGTTTCTTTCGCCGGTTGATTTTCGTTGGTTCTTTTGATTTGATTCTTTTTGCAAACCGGAGTTCTTAAGTTGAACTTTCTGGTTAGATCTCTTATTTGAGTTTTACCCGTGCATTAGATGAGTACTTATTGTATGCTTGTTTGTTTGCTATAGAGTACCCGGAGTGCGCCGCTTGCTACTTTGAATCTCTAGGTTTCACAGATCATCAGCAAGGCAAGTAACACTTTGATCATACCTCTTTACTACCCAGTTTTTATTGCATTAGATCAATCCTCAAACATTGCATGATTAGAATCTAATTAATATGTGGGTTCTGGGAAGTAGATGAGGTAGTACCTATTACCTGTTTTATTATCAAACCCTTAGGAGTTACTTCTACGTTTGCTTATTATGCCATGCTATGCTAGTAAACATGGATTGGGTGAGTGTATCCATGACAGATGTGAGATTGTTAATTTAATGGATTATTTAAGGTGGCAACTTAAACACACATCTGGGTGGATTGAGGCACCTGGGTATTCCAGCGATTGCCTGTTTTCTTTTGGACCGCCACCCAGGCTCAAAGGGATCATGAGATTATTCATGCTAGAAACTGCCGTGTGCAGCCACAAGCTACTATGTGCTCTAGCATAGTTGACTAAGTCGTGCGAACTCTTACAGTGGTAGACTAGCAGATGTAGGGGATGTAGGTTGGTACTGTCTACCCGATCGTAAGGTGCTAGCACTTCTGAAAGACTATGTCTCGGTCATCCGTTTCTCAAACATCATGTAGTGCGAGAATCCTAACGGAGGAGATCGAGTCTTGTGGGGAAAAGTGCGCAAACCTCTGCAGAGTGTATAAACTAATCATGGTTAGCCGTGTCCCCGGTTATGGACATCTTGAGTATCTAGTACCTGGATTATCATGTGAATCTCATCATGTTACTTTAATTAATATTGTTGGGTTTTAATGATGATGCTTAATTGGGATTGAGAGGATGTCTATCTTCTCAATGTTTAACAACCACCATGATAGTTAAATAAAGATTATTCCTTTGCAGTAGGGAAAAATTGGCTTTATGCAAAACTATAACCATAGAGCTTTCCACCAGCCATATATGCATGTAATATAGCTTTATTCTTTCATTACTCTCTTTGTGTTACATTGCCAGCATATTCCATGTGCTGACCCGTTTTCGGGCTGCAACGTTCATGTTGCAGACTTTTCAGACGACGAGTAAGGTGCCTTTAGGTCATCGTTCTATACTCAGTGATGCCGTTGGAGTTGATGGACTCACTTATCTTCCAAGCCTTCCGCTGTTATCGTTATTAGATGGCCTTAAGCCATATTTATTGTAATTAGTTCTCTTTTGAGACATTCGATGTAATAAGTGTGTGATTGCTACTCTGTTATAAATCCTTCAAGTACTGTGCGTGTCAGCATTACTGATCCAGGGATGACACTAAAGCACAGAGATCGGACTGTCTGAGGTCTGGTCGCTACACTCCTAGCCCTTTCCTCCTAAGAAAATAAGATAATGCACTCCACACAAGCCTATGCAAACATATGGAGTAAAAATGATCATACAAATGGAGTAAAAAAATCCACTCCACACAAGCCTTTGCAAACATACTCAAATATGGATTATAATCATACTCCACACAAATAATCACAAGGATGCAACAAGCATACTCCACAAGCCTCATCTCAGGTCAGTTGACAACAAACATCTCAGGTCTCATGACAACAAGCATCTCAAGTCTCTTGGCAACAAGAATCTCAGGTCTCTTGGCAACAAGCATCTCAGGTCTCTTGGCAACAAGCATCTCAGGTCTCTTGGCAACAAGCATCTCAAGTCTCTTAACAACAAGCATCTCAAGTCTCTTGACAACAAGCATCTCAGGCCTCTTCCATTACTGAACCCTCTTCATTAGCCCTAAGTTGTGTAGGGAATTTGCGTAAACCACTTGAGGGCACGACAATCTTGGAGCTAGCTGCCCAAGACCCTCAAGCCTTTCCTAGTTCACATGTGGTGTTTTATACCCATTGCCCCCTGCATGGTTCAGGATCTCAATCATGCACATTTGCAGAGTTAG